AACTTGGCTAGACCCTGTCTCAAAATAAAACCCCAAAAAGGTTGAGGATATAAAATGGTAGAGTCCCCCTGGGTTCAACCCCCAGCACTAAAAAAAAATTTTTAAAAATATATAAATAACATTAGACTTCAAAGTATTTGTAATAAAGACAGCTTCACCTAAACCAGTGCCTCTCAAACTTTAGCAGACACCTCTGGAAGGTTTGTTAAAAGAAAGCTGTTTCACGCTCAAGTTTCTGATTCAGTCAGTTTACTGGTGGGCCCAAGATTTTGTATTATATCATGTTCCTTGGAAATACAACAATGAAAGTCTGGCAAATACACTTTGATGACCTAACCAAACAAAATTTTAAATAAAAATATTTACAAAAAAAGAAAGTCCCTCACCCATGACAGAGTATCATTCATTCTACAAGGACTACTATTTCTTGAATTTTCAGATTGCCAGCATTTCCCATCAGAACACTGAAGAATGGATGGACTGTGTATGTCACTGCTGGACATATTCCTTTTTTAACTGAATATAATAGTGGATCTCAAATGAGAAAAGATGAAACATCTGGCCAAGTGGACTGCAAATGAAATGTAGTCTCCTATTTATTCCCAAAACAAGTTGGCCAATGAGTCCTACTGCAAAATCAAATAATGGTAAGGAATTCCCCTGCTTCAATTCACGAAGAAAATGTATTTATAAGGAAAATTTTTTTCACTTTGAAATTTTCCTCTGATTAATTTTTCCTGTAACTTTGAAAGTGACTATTATTTGTCTCTATTCGAATCCAATTCTAGATGTTGTCTGTTAGAGGATAAATGTCTATGCCCTCACCCCAACCCAAATTCCTATTGACGCCTTAGCCCCCAGTGCGACTATATTTGGAAAGGGGGCCTGTGAGGAGGTTCAAAGAATGGCAGTGTGTCCTCCAGGTGCTCTGCTGACTGAATGCATTTGAGAACCACGGTTCTGGAGGAAATTCACATTTAGAAAAAGCACCGTCTTCCTGGGTTTTAGAGTCTGACAGACCTGGATTTATATTCATTCATTCCCATTCTCTTTGTATGTGTGTGTTCATTCTGTGCAAATTCCTCACTGACAAATTCTGGCTCTATTTCCACAATGAGCTACGGTAGGCCTCCCTCCCTGCCGCTCCCCAGCCTGTCCCTGGATTCTGGTCAGAGACCCAGTCACACAAA